GATAATCATAATCGAGATTGCCCCCAGAATTTCGATTGACAAATTTCCCATAAGGTTCAGGAGAAAAAAGTTGAACAAAAATTAAAAACAGATTAGAATAGGTTTATCGTTGCAAATATTTTCAACAATATCATCCAGATGCCAAAATGAAACCAAAGCGTTTACACGGGTCAAAAAAGGAAGAAAAAAGAGGAGAAAAGCAGAAAAAAAGGGAGGAAAAGGGAACAAAAAGAGATACTGACCCGAGCGACGATTTTACCGGAGACTAAGCCGATAGGCACGGGGCCATAAGTCCGCGAATCGATACTAACGGCATAATTATCGCCTTGTAACCACAGATGACCCTGAGGGATAGTAAGGAGAGATTTATGAGAGTACTGGTAGTCGAGTTCTGGATGGAGGATCGAATCAGCAGTAATCTGATTGAAGTGATGAGGGAGATCGTCGACGAGGATCTGATCCCCTGGCAGTCCGATGATCCTTTTACAAGCCAACACGGACGGGTTCGAAGGCGAGACAAAGTTGACCAGGTCGCCTCGGTTCAAGTTCAGCCGACTCGTCGTCGGCTCGGCTTCGGCTGTCTTCTTCGCTGTCCTCGCTCGGTCTCCGCGTAGGCTGTAATTCAAAACCGATGAAAGCGGGATTTGCAGTAGTAGATCCCCTGTCACGTTCAGTGTCGGTAGCATCGATCCTCCTTCGCACTGGATCGAATCAAGGTTTCATTAGTTATTTTTGTTTTGTTTTGTTTTGTTTTGTGCGAGATGCCAGGTGGATGCAGAAGACATTCATCAAGAAAGATGATATGCCAGCAGATTATGATTTTTTTAGGAAATCAACAAAATGGTCAGTCATATTATCATTTTGCCTGACAAGATTTTGCACAAAAAGACGACCGACCCATCGGAGATCTCCGACTTTGTCCTTAAACAGACTGACGCCTGCGGTCACCTGAACAGCGCGTCTGAACAAATTATAAGTCCGAGATTGATCAGCCGATCCTGCCTGCATGAGATCACCTCACAGAGGGCGCAGAAGGATGACCTACTTGACGAGATGCAGGGTGGTCTTGAAGGTGGAGGCGCTGTTCATCTGTTCACCCGACGCTCCAAAGGGCCAATGAAACTCCGCTGGTTTGCAAATTCTTTGTCTATGGTACACGTTATTCGCCTCCCGTGTCGAGTTCCCTTAGTAGGCCAAAAAAGTGCCTACAAAAAGCGAATATCAATCGGGTCAGTAAATGCGATGACACCCCAAAATGGAGCAAACTCACAGTGGTCGTTTGGCTGAACCAATCGTTGAGTTTGTTTTAACTGGCCGGGTGCTGCCCGGCGTGACGGCGTTGGAGACTGGAGTGGTTGCATCGGGGACACCCCGGGAGTCTCTTGGACTTGAACCCGGCGACTTTCAGCTGAAGGCCGAGAATTGGCCCGATATCCTTATCTCCGACTACTAGTTAACCGAGGAAACCAAGCTAGAGGCCGTCAGGGAAAAAGAAAAAACTCAACAAACGATGATGGACTCCGCAACGTTACTCGAAAGCCTCAAGCTGCCTCTGATCGGAGGCGCACTCTTATCGCTATCGAGCATGAACCTGATGCTCGACTTCAGCAAGGTCTTCGGCTGTTCCCAAGCGCTCAAGAGTCTCCAAGAATCTTACAAGCTCATCCGTTTCCATTACTTCCAAAACAGTAATGGTCAAAGCAATAATAATCACATCTTATTCAACCATCAGAACTTGTTCATAGCTGCCGGCTTGGCTCTCAGCGGCTCCTTCCTCAGACTGTTCATGGACTTTATCGAGCGCAATCTGACGCACAACGAGCGATCCATCTTCGATTCCTCTCTGCTCTCTAATCATGTCCATCACTCCAGAAGCGATGATCATCAGGTGCTCAAGAATGTCTTACTCTTTACGCTTGCCGGGTTACTGTCTGGTGCTGGAACTACTCTGGCCTCTGGCTGTACATCTGGTTAGTTTGTATTTTCACGCCTTTTCTGTTCGTTTGTCTGAAAACTTATTACTTTTTCTCCTCTTGAATTTATTCACTGCAGGTCATATGTTATGTGGAATGGCGCGTGGTAGCAAGCGAAGTATTGTGGCCACCTGTGTCTTCTTCCCCGTCGCGATCCTCACCCACCGAGTTCTCAAGCCACTATTGGCCCAGATCGGAGTCTTTTCGCAATCAGACTCGATGTACCAAGAGTATTCGGAATCTGTCTCCACCATAGGCTCAGACCAGGTAATCTGCGGAGCGATATTCGCGGCCCCATTCATAGCTTACCTCGTCCTCAAATTGGTGGTGAAACCCGAGCGCTGGATTCCGTTACGGCTTGGCCTGCTTGGCGCAACCTTCGGCTCAGGACTGACTCTCTCAGGGATGACGAAACCGTCAGTAGTCCTAGGGTTTTTCAACTTCCCACTGCCCACATGGGATCCCAGTTTATTGGGTGTCGCGATCGCCGGGCTCGGCCTCAACACCTTGGTCTATTGGCTGTCCATCAAGCCTCGAATTGACTCTTGGATCGCTGTCCGTCAACTGGCCTCTAGCGAAAATGCTGGCGGAAGCGAGCGCCCTTTGCTCGATAAACTCGACCGCTTGGCCCCGCCTTGCGCAACCCCTCCAACTTGGCAACTACCTGAAATGACTAACAATGAAATCACAACCCGTTTGGTTTTGGGAAGCGTTCTCTTCGGTTTAGGTTGGGGGTCAGTACCTGGGCTAAAAGTTACTTGAAGTTCAGCATGGTTAACTAATTTAACTGTTGCTTTTGTTTGTTTGACAGACTTGCTGGAGTTTGCCCCGGACCAGCACTAGTAGTTTTTGGGGCGTATCCACTTTCATTTGTCATGTGGGGCTGGCTCGCAGGTTTTTTTGCGGGCAGTCACTTCATCCGTTAATGTCTATAAAAGCCGGTCGCGCATCTGAAGCCCTGCTAAAGGCTGTTCCAAGCATCTCGCAAATGTCCAGTAATTTGTTGAGCTATTTCAGAAGCCTGGTCAACCTCACATTCCGACCTAAAGAAAGAGGGCGCATAGACGGGGAGTGGATTAGACCGGCAGATCTAGTCGATTGTAGTGTGGTGTTGTATTTACCATTCAGTTTCGGATATCAGGCGCTCAGCCTCGGGTATCTCCTCATCTTGTAATTGTAGTGCATTATATAAACTCTCGGCCGTCGATATTCGTACCTAAACTTGTCAAGTAGTGTCAGAGAAACAAAAAAAAATGTATAATGTCATGATTGTATCAAGTTCTGCACGCACTCTCGGTGAATTGTAAGAAAGATAGCTCGTCAAATAGGGGACTGCCTCAAGGCGTGCGCTTTTGAACAACGTAAGATGGATGACACTAGAAGAAGTTCAAGGAACTCGTCAGACGTTGATGCGAAGACTCGAGAGCCATAAAAGAACGCAACATTTTCGAGCCAGTCAAGACTCGATTCACAGAAACCTTGGGTTGATTTAAATTACGAGTGACCATGTGGAGGATAGATTGGAGTCTTGCGTGACGAGAAACAAGACACATGGTCAACTCAAGCAATCTACTAATGGAAGTCAAAAAGTCAAACGAAAAAACTCACAGTTTTCGACCATCGCCATGTTGCTCAAGAGGCTTCAAGGCATCCGTTTCGAGTAACAGGGAAATCGTCTCCCAACAACACAATCCAAAATTTCTCGATCCGCTCGGCCGGGTTGATGTTAATTTTAAAATTCTTCGAACGACCTCCACTGAGATTGAGGGATTAGACTCTCCAATTTTACCAATGTGTTCGACAAATGAAGCAGCTGCTTTCTTGGCCTGCTCGTTGATATATAAGTTTATAGAAGGGTGCATATAGTCAGCATATGAATTGGATTCATCATCCGGTGCTAATGATTATGAGAACTGAGAGATGTGAAGTCCGGAACAGGGAAGGATTGACTCACGTCATTATTACCTTTGCCCCCAATCAAGATTATGATACCTTGTAATAGCGACTCCGAAAGTGAGATGGAAAATTCGATGAACTCGTTTGACGGAAATGCACATTGTAAATGTCTTTTGATCAGCTGAGTCAATAAATCTACGGAGTTTGGAAAAGTCCATTTGAGTTCTCTCCAATGTTCAGAATTCCGTCTGAGATGATGATGCAATGAGAGAGCGAGCTCAGGTTAGTAAAACTGCCCCCTGTGTCTCTTTCGCTCACTTAAACATACAAGAAGACGAAACACAATGCGGGGGAGAGGTAACAAAAAAAAGGGAGCAGAGAATATAAGACGACTGAACTGATCAAAAGCTGATTGCAACAAAATCACAATATCTTTATCAATCTGAAGAAATTTCGAACTCGACAGGTAGACTAAAATCTTAGCCATGGTTTGCCAGGCAAGTTGTCTAACCGAATCGATCGAATCCAAAGACTGTCGCAAAACTCCACTGAAGATGTGACTGATCAAGAAGCGTTGTTCGAGTTTGAGAGGAATTATCCGGTCATGATGGATTTTGTGAGTATATTCATGAGCTTCACTTGGTTCCAGTGCCTTGTCGTGCATATCGAGTTCTAGTGGGGTTCTACCATCAATATGGATGTTGTGATTGTTTTTGCCCGCCTCAATTGATGCCAGTGATTTGGTGTATAAATCGATGATTTGATCGAGACTTTTGAGGCTTGATGCTCGCACCCAAGATCCGACATCCCCTCTTTGATCATTAGTATAGTTAAACAACCCATTTACAAAAACCGTCAAAAGCTTCGAAAAATGTTCTTGAGTGCAGACTTTTCAACCATAAGTGATACTTAAGTCATTACTTGGAGCGGCGATTGTGTGATTAGGCGGATGGGAAGAGATCAAAGTGACCCACAAGTATGGAATCGGTCCCCAAAGTTCGCCATAATTGAAACGAGAGATTCGATACAGTTCCTGATAACTTCAATTGGTTCTGGCAACCCTGAGGCCTTTATTCCATTGAGAGGGGGTATATATCAGTGAGTCAGTCAACCAGTAATTTTCACATCACAGGAGTCCTACCTTTTCCTCTGTACAAGCGATCAACAAGTCAAAGGTAGACTGGAAGGACACTTGAAGTGCTCCCGAGGAAAACACAAATCCACCCAAACATCGCGCGGAAGCTTGTCTAGCAACTACTAAACCACTTGTTAGAGCCTTTGAGAAAAACCTTTAGAGAAGCATGACAAAAGAAAGAAAGAAAATTGGATCAATCATTGCGCTTCAATCAAGATCAGTTTCTGATGATAAGGTTGAAAATCGATGCTTGATGACGCAAGAATATAAGAAAAGTGGAGGTGCGCAACTAACTGTATTTGCTGTACCCCGACACCACGAAGAGAGACTTGATGTAACACGCTTTGCAGCGAGCAATGTAAGTTGTCATCAGAGCGCTTCAGACCAATATCCACAAGCTGCATCCAAGCAGGACTTTTGATAAAATTTTCACAAAGTCGTGGGCAATCGGGTAAAGTGTTGGCAAGAGCTTGGCAGATTGCTACCAATAAGACCTCTAATTGGCGAGGTTTCAAGTTGGAATCCAGGACGCCAGTGACTAACTGAAAGATCTGAAGATCCAGCCAATCAAACACCATGCCATTCTTGAATCAGCGCCTCAAGGCTGGAAGCAGGCTTAGAACGCGTTGAAGTAATTTAAAGATAAAGGCGAACTCACCTTTTCAAGTAATTTGATAGTAGCGTTCTCCGTTTTATCGGATTGGACAACTTTGGCTAACTCACCCAAGGTGAGTATAGAGCCATGTACTTGATTGATATCTTTGGATCTTAAACCTAATTCCTAGATGGTTACCGAGTGAGTTGGATAAGGTTTGATCACATCAAAGGTACTGATAAACTAGACGAGAAGTGGAATGCTCACAAGCCTATCCAATAAAGCCGAAGGGATTTGATTGAAGGCGCCTCGAGCTATCTGGCAGATCGATTGAGAAGCCAGTTCGCGCACGCCACCATCCCAATGGCAAACACATACTTCGAGTAAATGATTCAAAATGGCCTCCCGGTACTCTTCGAACCTACAATCGTCCTCTTTCAACTAAAGGCCAGTTAAAGAAGAAGAAAGAGGAACTGAAATACCTTGCAACCTCGGGAGCCGCTTTCAAAAAGGATGATCTTCGAAGTCCGACCGTAAAGAAATCTGCCCGCTGAAGAACATCGATTCCATGAGGAAATATTCCCTAAAGGTTGGTGTACGGGTAAATTAGTTGGATCATCAAATTATGTATGGGCACTGGTATGAAAAACTAACAAGTCTTCCGACGTTTTCTTGAAAGGCTGCACTGCCAGCCCTCCGAACGTGCACTTCTCGATCAAACAACGATTGCAGAACCAGTTGTATAGCTATTTGATTGGCGAAAGGCTCTACTTCAGCTGAGGAAAAGGCTCTACCAAAAGACCACAAGACGAAAGCTGCAGCATCTCGGACGCCTGAGCCTATGCTTTGGACTCCCTTGCGTTGCTCGAAATGCAAAGCCTAATATCGTATACGGAATAATTGCAAGCCGTTTTAATTGGGCCGATGGACAAGCGAACGAGAAGAGAGAGAGATACACTTAACTCGAACAACCCATTCAATCAAACTTTCAAGACGCGAGACCGGAAAACATTTTTGACGAAGAAATTCTGCGCAAGCCAAGCAAGCACCTTGCCAGGTGTAATCGTTCACCGACAACAGATCGATCCCGCCCTTTTGTTCTTCAACGGTTTTTAGGCTAAACAACTCTAGGATAGCGTCACATATCTGGATCGAAAAGGCCTCTGGGAGTCGTCTCCCGATTTTTGCTAGATACTTTGCTCCCGACCAACGCACAACTGTATCCTATTGGGGTTCATAAAAAAAAAGTTAAATTTAGATTAAAATTCGAACAATTTAACCGATCTTGCTCATTGATGCTGGAGTTCCGTACTTTATCTTGAAGGCAATCCAATAAATCTTGGACGATCATTTCAACAGATTCCGGTACTTGCTCATCTTCGTTGTCGGACGAGCCCTGCGGGCTAACTGGTATGACCAAAGCCACTCTTCCAGCCAGCTTGGCCCTAAGTTTTCGTAGGTTGATACTAGCTGAAATGTAAGGTAATTTGCTTGTTTCCAGAAGCGCTTGGTGGAGGAGGGGCAATACACCCAATAATTGTGGAGGCCTAGCTAACTCTACAAGGATACATAGGACTTGAGCTATGCCAGTAGCCTGTTGAAAACAAAACAAACAAAAAGCAAAAATCAGATTCAGAAACCTTTTGTGGCATGATGGATATTCATTGATATCTGACCAGAAATAGATCGTGTTCTCCAGCTACCCGGAGATTGTCAAGACATTTCTCCACAAACGCAAGTAGATGTGAGCGGAAAACGTCTTCCCTGCGGGAAATTTGAATTGATATTCACTTTTCCATGAGAGAAAACATTGGCAGGAAAGAGAAGTATAGGAGACCCACCTCAACATCAAT